TGCTGGCACGAGATCTCAGAACACTCTACTTTAGAGCAGCCCCGCCATCCAGGAAATCGTTATCTGTAATATCAGAGAAGAGAAGCCAGAAGGACAAGCTGCTTTACACAGCTTGCCTGCAGAAAAAGTCTTCTTCCCTTCCAAGCTCTTTTCATTTCTCTCCCCACCCCTTTTACTGGGGTCACTGTTGCTCCTGCTTTTTGGAAAGCATTAATTACAACTGAACCAATTTCTCCTATTCTGATTCCTGTTTGTTCTACGAGTTCACTCTGCTTCACATAAGGGCCTCCCCCTGCCTCTCCTCGTCCCCCAAATTGACACACAGGAGATATTTTGCTCGCGGGTCCCCTGGGAGGATGTCCACCAGTGGTGTGTTCCAGATCCCGTTCCAACCGGTATGGTTGGAACGGGCCCGGCAGCGTCCACATGAACGCGTACAGTGCACGCATGCATCTTAGCGGCTCGGACAGCCTCCGTGACGCTCAAGCTGCTCAGCGGAGCATCACGCAGGTGCTGTACACGCCATGCATGTGTGTGGAAGCGCCAAAGATTTAAAAAACAGTTAAGGAGCTTGGACAGGTGGGTGGGTCCTCCGAAGCACCGTACCGTGCCGTTATCCAGTGCTCCGGGCAGGCTCTGGTATGCACATACTGGGCATACTGCCTGCAACCCACCACTGATGTCCACACAAAACATTTGCTTGCCAGATTCTATACAGTGATGGCTAACCTTTTTGTCATCGTGTGCCACAAGAGCATGTGCGCGTGTGACAGCATACACGTGCGTGCCCACAACCATAATACAATGTGCTCCCAACACACACACACACCTGCATGCAGCCAATTCCCCAAACATGCATGTGCAATCCCCCTGCTCCATTTTGGGCCTAGCAGGCCTCCCTTTAACCTCCTGGGACCAAACATTGGGTGCGGGGGAGGGTGGACCCCCCTGTGCTCCCCCTGCCCTGTGGCAGGAGGCACATGCACATGTGTGGTGGAGCTGAGCTGTAGCGACAGTTTGTGTGTGCATAGAGAGGGCTCTGTGTGCCAATTGTGGCACACGTGCTATAGGTTCGCCATCACAGCTATAGGAACAATCCAACAAAGCCGGGAGGTTGGGTTGTCCCCAGGGCCGAACTCACTATGATCTTTTTATTCCAGATGCCGTCTCTGTGGTAGGGGCAGCATGTCAGCCCTGGCACTCTCAGTGGCTTGCAGCTGCCATTCCACTGGTGGGGGAAGTCATGGAGGGGACTGCTACTTTACCTGCTTGCCTGCCTGCCTGTTCCCCTCTCTTCCAATTGCCTTATGTATGAATGTGCATTAGAAACAAAGGAAAAGTAGAAGAAGGTGAAAGCGAGTGTTCGGAGCGGAAAATTGCTCAGCAGTTTGAATACAGATAGTCCTTTACTTAGGATCACGATTGAGCCCAAAATTTCCATCGCTAAACAAGACAGTTGTTAAGAGAGCCGTGCCCTGTTTACGACCTTTCTGCCACAGTTGGTAAGTGAAACATGCAGTCGTTAAGTGAATCTGGCTTCCCCCTTTGACCTTGCTTCTCGGAAGCAGGCTGGGAAGGTTACAAAAGATGATTAAAGGTAAAGTAAAGGTTCCTCTCACACATATGTGCTGGTCGTTCCCGACTCTAGGGGGCGGTGCTTATCTCCGTTTCAAAGCCGAAGAGCCAGTGCTGTCCGAAGACATCTCCGTGGTCATGTGGCTGGCAGGACTAAATGCCAAAGGTGCACAAAACGCTGTTGCCTTCCCACCAAAAGTGGTCCCTATTTTTCTACTTGCATTTTTACATGCTTTGGAACTGCTAGGTTGGCTGGGACAAGTAACGGGAGCTCACTCCATTACGTGGCACTAGAGATTCGAACCCCTGAACTGCCAACCTTCAGATTGACAAGCTCAGCATCTTAGCCACTGAGCCACTTCGTCCCATGATTACATAATCCCAAAACACTATCTAAATACATGCCAGCAGAAAAGCACCCTAATTTTGATCACATGACCATTTACACTTCAGTTTGAGATGGAGACAACACAGACTCACCCCCCAACAGCCTGCGCCCGTCTTCAGCAGTGAAGGGACACAGGGCAGAAAACATCCTGCAGCCCAGAAGTCTCCACATCCATTTGTACTACTCAGGTGACCCTCAGGGCACAGATAAACCTCCTAATGGCCTCAGTGACATTCTAAAAGGATGCAAATGACCAGCTGTCTGCAAGGAATATAAACCCTTCCATTCCTCCACCATCCAGTCAGAGCTGAAGAAGCTTCTTGGATAAGAAGCTAAATGTCTTCCAAGAAAAGGAAGTCCAGTTGCCTCCTGAAAAAGCACCTCTGAGACAATTTCGGAGAGCTTCAAAATGGGCTGGGATGATAGAGAGATGTTGTCAGGCGTGCCTCATTCAGTATCCAAGAAAGAAAACCCCCCAACTCCATTTAATTAGAGAAAAGGTACTTTCACTGGACGTGAAATGAAAACAGCGAAAGTGAAGCAAGATCTGAAGCAAAAAAACGTGAACTTGGACATACCAAACATTTACCCAACCCCCCCCCCCCAAGTTATCCTGGCCCAACTCCCAAATATGTCATGCAGGGTGCATCTTCAGGTGGCCTCATTCAGCAGACATATAGAGACAGTTGGCCTTGACCAAATCCAAACGCAACAAAAGTCCCTTCTTCGAGATATCTCCACCAGCACGTTTCCCCCCCCAAATACCATGAGCCCCCCCCCTCCCCGTTACTATGGCAGCCGATAGCAAGCATGCAAGATAGAGGCTGACAGATGTCCTCGTGAGAACATTTTGCTCAAAAATTGGTAGCAGGAACATCTTCGTGCAGTGCTTAAGTAGGACATGAGAGTCGGCCATTGTCTTTGCTCCCTGAATTGGCTGCGGGTCACAGCAAGATCTAAATTTCTTAATTCATTTCACCAGTTTATATTCTTAGACTATTGTTTCTTCATGCTCTGCATCAGTGGTAGGATTGATTTTTTTTTACTACCGGTTCTGTGGGCGTGGCTTGGTGGGTGTGGCATGGCTTAGTGGGCGTGACGGGCAAGGATACTGTAAAATCTCCATTCCCACCCCACTCCAGGGGAAGGATACTGCAAAATCCCCATTCCCTCCCAATCAGCTGGGAGGCAGAGAATAGATGGGGTGGGGCCAGTCAGAGGTGCTATTTACCGATTCTCCGAACTACTCAAAATCTCCACTCCCGGTTCGCCAGAACTGGTCAGAACCTGCTGAATACCACCTCTGCTCTGCACCTATTGTGTTAATCTTTGTCTCTGCCCTAAATTACTCTTCTTTTTCCTATCTACTCCCGTACATCTTTACCTTTTAGATCTAATTCAGCTCAAGTGCACAGTTGCAGTCTTCGAATTTGCGCATGTTGCTCAGATCATGTCTGACTTTGACAATCACGAAGACGCTAATATTTTCATCATGCAGGAGAAGTAGGGGGGATTCCCAGATCAGCGTGGCTCCAAATTATAACACTATAATACATTCATCGCAGGGGTAAATCCAATCTGTTTATTACAAATACATGTTTCACTCTGCATTTTGCCATATTGCAATAGCAGAGTACATCTTTAGGAGAGATTTCTTATTTACTTAATCCTCTCCCTTTGATATCCTTTCCTCTCTCTTCCTCTCCTTCTCTCCTATTAAACCACTTACACTACCAGCTGAGCTTTTGCATTTGACAAGGAGATACAGCTGTTTGTAAATACATTCCCCCCCACCCCACCCTTCCTTTCAGCATTATCACTGTAAAACAAGACTTGCCACCCAGGGACACTGATTCCTTCTTGCTCCTTCCCTTTTAAGGCAGTTTCCCTGCTTCATCGTAAAGAAATCGCTGTACATGTTGCTCTCTTGGTGAATAATAAACTATTCTGACCTAGATTCTTCCACCTACCGTTTTTATAACAGACTCCATAAATGGTTGTGACAAGATAATATTCTATGATGGCCATTTCTTGACATCTCTGGAGCAAAATGCTTGAAATACCCCAACTGATGTTGGCAGAAAGAGCCGGGAAAGGAACTTGGTACCTTTACTTGTAAGTGAGGGTCTGTTGTGGGGTGAAGAAACACATTCAGGAAAGCAGCTGATTTCGCTGTCACTCACTTGATGAATCTGTGGCAGGGAAACCGCTTGCCTCAGTGTCTTGAAACTGCCAACATGAAAAATGATGATGTGGGGGGGGGGTTACTGTTTGAGAGAGCAAACATATAACTTCACGTTCGTACATATAACATTCACATTTCAGATTCCATAAGATGATTCCTCTAAAGCTCGGACATGTCACAATTATTAAGAGATGGAATATTCTTGTAGCTTCTGCAGGTGACCGATCAGATCCCACAGATTAGGCCTCCTCCGAATTCCATCCACCGGCCAATGCCGACTGGCGACTACCCGGAGG